TATCATGTCTCCAACAGTTATAGACGCATGGAAAAAAAGAGTCGATTTATTTGCAGCTTTGGGAGTATGAAATTGAATTGATTCCGCGAAATGAAGGGTCAAATAATTTGTTATGTCAGCATTTCGGACTGTGGTATAAATATTAAATTCACTCGTTCGCATACCTCACTCAAAGAGAATGCTTTTCCACAATTTACTTTCGGCATCAAAGTATTAATGACAGTTCTCATGCATTCATTTCTCATCTGAATCATTGCATTCGAATTATTATGATCTTCAGTGCTCTGAATAACTTCAATTGTCTCTGTATTATTCTTGCTCCTCTCGCGTTCGTATCTCTGTTCATAGTTGCGTAGACAAGTAGGATGAAAACAGAAATTCTGTTCGAGTAAACTCTCTCCTGTCGTCAAATGTCCAATTTTATTAAAGAATTCGTCATCGAAAAATAATGCTGCGTTACGGAGATTATCGGCTCTCTTAATGCTGTGCAATGAGTACAATCTCTCCCTCGTTATTTTATTGCATAATACACATTTATTATTCACCTCTACAGCTGTAACAGATCTAGTCCCCCGATGGACCGATTCCGCTCTTCCGAATACAGCCTGTGGTGATTGTGTCTCTTTCTCTATTTTCATTCTCTACGTTCCTCCCTATAGCTTGTTGGATTTTCTCTGGCATCGTGTACGTCTTGTAACAATTATTTGTCATATGGCAATAAAATTTTTCGCCCTCACGCAATCGCTGTAATCGAACGAGAACAGAATCCTGTCGTGATTTAGCAGCATCACGAATGCGTTCTCGTCCCACCTGCCCAGACGCTAAATTTCCTCCTTTCTCCTGACAAATTATACAGAGATTACTCTGAAATTCTCTCCTAATTTTCAAACAAATTTGTTGGGCTTCCATTATATTTCTGGAGACGCACTCTAAATAACCGATACACTACACTAACTCATCACAATCTAACACTGAATACTCTCAGAACATTCGCCTGCGAATGCTGCGGGACAACTGATGAAAAATACTGTTCATTTCAAAATACCCATCAATTCATTGAAATTGAATAGTACATTACTTTCGCGAAAAATTGATGCACGAAAAAACAGCAAAACACAATGCGGCGAGACACCTGAACCTAGCGCTACACATGGTTGGCTCGCCCGCAGTTGGACCGCGCGCTCTCTTTCCGCACTGATTGTTTAATAGCTTATATCTCTTTAACTAATTGCTCTACGTGAATTCGATATAAGACAAAAGTTTTTCTGCATAACTATAGAATCATTTTTTGTTTGAACATTTTTCCGATGTCAATCATAGTTTGCCAGATAAAGCCTTTTAAACGATTGAAATTGTTAATAACAATTGACGGGTCAATTTTTTGCAAAAATAATCGACAGATTCGTAATCAGCGTCCCAAAAAACATAGAATCCACTAACATTGACAACGCGACCTAACAGTTTACATAAGACTCGTGGGGGGCAACGACTATCAGTATCATGAATGATCCAGTAATCAACGGGCTCTATCTCCGTAAATAATGGAGATTAGGCCAAAGACCAAAAAATCAAAAGTATGTATTTTTTATGGGGGATTAACAATTATGCAACATTTTTTCCTGTATCTCCAATTGTACTGTTGTTTTACGAGTCTCCAACTCGTAAAACAACAGTAAATAAAAGCGTTCTAGGTAATTTGCCCGATCACGCAACATGATGGCGTCAATATCTCATCAACTACTGGTTGTAGGAAAAAATGTCAAAAAATCAATTATATGGGAAATTTGATTGCAAAATTTTTCATTTCAACTATTTTCCTCTATCTACATCGAGTGTCCCGATAAACGGATCGAAGCGCCCCAACACCCTGCGCGAGTACTCAAGCGGCGCCCGCTCCGCTGCCACCCCCCGATAACTCCGTATCTATCATAGTTAGGGGGAAACGGTATAGAACAAAAAATGAGTATTTTTACATATCAAACATCTTTTTTTTGAACATTTTTCCGATACCTGTCATAGTTTGCCAGATAAAGCCTTTTAAACAATTAAAATTGTTAATAACAATTGAAGGGACAATTTTTCGGAAAAGTAACCGACAGATTCGTAATCAGCGACCCAAAAAACAAAACCCACTGACATTCTCGACGCGACCTAATAATTTTACAGGGCTGTCGTGGGTGTAAGGACTATCTCCTTTCTCTGTTGTTCTTCGGCTCCTCTCGTGCTTCTCTCGTCTCTCGTCACTCGTGCGAGTTCTTGGGAGTGCGGGGGTACGGGGATCATCTTACAGTGCGACAGGGGGAATCGTTGTCATCCTTCCTTCAATAACTCTTGACGTTTCTCTTTCATGCGGACGACTGTTGTCCAACTTCGGGGCGCTCGGGCCCTCCCGAGTGGAAATTCCGGTCAGGTCTTCATCAAGTTTGGATCAGGTTAGACCTGACCACTGATCAGGTATTGATCAAGTTGACGGATCCGGTCTTGATCAGACATGTTACGCCTCTGACCAATTCGGATTTGATCAGGACGAATGGATCCGAACTTGATCAAGTCAACTGTATGAAAACCGGATGACCTGCTGTCTGTGTCAATAACAATTATCAATGATAACTAATCCAAAACAAAAGATAATTCAATTCTTTCACCGTAGGCCGCCTCTCGTAATGAATCTCTACTGTTATTAGCTCTGAAAAAGCTTATTATTTTTTTACCGATGCTGGGGATCGAACCGGGGACCCTATGATTGCTATCCTATGCCCTAACCACTACGCTATCACGCTATTTCTATTGAGTAAACTGTACATTGCCTATATGATTTGTATCCGGGTATTCGTTGAATTTACGATTATTCCTGATCTCGCGGATGTGCGTGTGTATTCTCAGAGATAAAATATGTTCAATTAAATTTTTATTTATTTCATTAATGAATAATAATAATGATAATAACAATAACTCTAATAAATAAATAGACATTTGGTGATTTTTTTTCTCAAGATCACTTGCGTGTAAGTTTAATACTCTTCTAATATGTATTTACGACATCATCAGCCCGCCCTTCTATCCATTTGAGAAGGGCTGGCTGCTAATTAAATTGATTAATTAAATTAAATTCATTAAATTAAATTAATTTAATTTATTTTAATTATAGTATAATGATCCTTTTTAAAGATTGAAAATAATTATTGATAATGGTTGATAAAATTTAATTTGAATAGTAAAATAATAGTTAATTAAATTATCTGAAAAACTTATTAAAATTAATGTCAGGTGGACCGGATCTGAATCTGATCATTTTCTCTTCAATTGACCCCGTTCAAATGCCGATCAAAGATATCAAATCCGAATTTGATCAAATTGGGGTCAGGCAGCCGACCTCAGGGTGAGATCGTGCCTACCTGATCAGAACTTGATCTGAATCATCCTGCAGTTTTTCGGATCCGATCTACTGGATCAAAACTTGGTCAGGTTCTCATCAGGCATCATCTGATCATGTCTACCTGACCAGAACTTCATCTGAACCCGCCTGTAGCTTTTCGGATCCGATCTGCTGGATCAGAACTTGGTCAGGTTCTCATCAGGCATCATCTGATCATGTCTACCTGACCAGAACTTCATCTGAACCCGCCTGTAGCTTTTCGGATCCGATCTGCTGGATCAGAACTTGGTCAGGTTCTCATCAGGCATCATCTGATCATGTCTACCTGACCAGAACTTCATCTGAACCCGCCTGTAGCTTTTCGGATCCGATCTGCTGGATCAGAACTTGGTCAGGTTCTCATCAGGCATCATCTGATCATGTCTACCTGATTAGAACTTGATCGGAACCCGCCTGTAGTTTTTCGGATCCGATCTGCTGGATTAGAACTTGGTCAGTTTCTCATCAGGAATCATCGGATCAGTCGAACCTTTCAAAAACATGTGTGGAACAGATACAAATAAATTTGATTAGCTCCAAAAATAATTTTTAACCGGAGATACTCCCTAATATTACCTGAATTTTCAGTCCGAATGGGAAAAATTTTTTTGTTCAGCGATTGCTTTTCTGCAGGAAAACAATAGAAACCCCTCCGCCTCACCTCCTACATTTCCTCCTCGCCCGATTATCCTTAAAACCCCACCCCCAGATACGCCCTGTCCCAAATCTAGACCCCTTTATGCAAAACCGTCTCCCCATTGATTAAACCGCCATTCAATGAAATCCTCCCGTATATGAGACCCCCCCCCCCGATATCACTACCCTCATGTATGAAGCCCCCTCTTTGCAAAATGCCCCCTTAAAATTTAAAAAAATCTCTAGTTTTTAGAAAACTGAAAGTTAGAAAACCACGGTTTCTAAAGTTTAGAAACATTTTTCTAAAGCTAATCCATTTTTTGTGTCCAATTAACTAGATAATCAAATAATAAATGGTTCAAATTATTCATTAACCATTTTAGTGGATCGATTATGATACCCATTGATGACTAATCATAATAATAGATGATTAATCATTGAAATTAATGATTAATTCAATATTCAACAATTTTGTAATTCAATGAAACATTATCAAAATATTTAGGAAATTTACACTTTTGATGATTAATGGACTTAAGAATCATTTAATTTTATATAGTGATTGAGGATTGATCCGCTAATCAGATAATTGCTCATCGTTATTGAGGATTATTCGATCAACTATTCAATTTGCGGTTTTCATGATTGAAATGATAATCGATCTCATACTCAATATTGATTATCACACAATCTTTTGTTGTGATTACCGATTGACAGAATGATCGGAAAATTGCGAATAGTAATTGACGACTGAGGATGATAATTGGAATTATTTATAAAAATATTAGGAAATTAATGATTATTGCCAATCTCTGGTATCAGGGACTCTTGGAGGAGCTCAATTTAGTCCCCGTCAATTTGAATTTTGTAAATTCAATTTTCCTTTGAATTTTTGCAAACAAGTAATCGTTTTCAATCATAAATAAATATTTAAATTTGTCAATTTCAGCATGCCGAAGAGATGAAGAGACGAACACTCCTCCTGAAAGTCCCTAAAGAAGCGGTCAGTGCTAAGAAGCGGCGAAGAGCAACAGGAGATGATCACTGCGACTATCTGAAGAAGCATCAGCGACCCGCGAACCGACGCAGAACGGATCCTGTGGTTGTCATGTCAACCATTCTGGAGAGCATTCTTAATGAAATGCGTGATCTCCCTGACGTTCAACCCTTTTTATTTCCAGTCAGTGCTAAAGCGGTTCCAGATTACTATAAAATTATCCAACGTCCCATGGACCTGCAAACCATTAGAGAAAATCTTCGACAGAAGAAATATCAGAGCAGAGAGGAGTTTCTGGCTGACGTCAATCAAATCGTTGAGAATTCCAATTTATACAATGGGTCAAAGAGCTCTCTGACCGTTGCTGCGAAGAGAATGCTCGATACGTGTGTAGAAAGACTTGGAGAAAAGGAAGATAGACTGATGAGACTAGAAAAAGCGATAAATCCTCTCCTTGATGACAACGACCAAGTGGCGCTTACATTTATTCTCGACAATGTTGTCAATAGTAAACTCAAAACTATGGCTGAAGCTTGGCCCTTCCTCAGACCAGTAAACAAGAAGCTGGTCAAAGATTATTATAATGTAATCAAAAGACCGATGGACCTCGAAACAATTTCTAAAAAAGTATCTGCACATAAATACCACAGTCGTCAAGAATTCGTGCAGGATGTTGAACAAATTCTGGAAAATTGTGTTCAATACAATGGAAAGGATTCAACGTTCACGAGAAAAGCAGAAGTATTAGTGAAAATTTGCAAAGAAACATTAGATGACTACGATGACCACCTCACTCAACTCGAAAATAATATTTCTCTAGTTCAACAACGTGCAATGGAGCAAGCAGACATGGACTCCTCCTGGCTGGGCCCTGAAGAGGAGAACTATACGATTGTTGAACCAGAATATCGAAGTAGCCAGACGAATTCCCCAGACAATCCATTCGGCAAGTCCAGTATAGATGACTTCGACTTTGTTGACGTTGAAGGTGACATTGAGGCTGAACTCAATGCGAGAACTGCTCATGCGAAAAAGAAAGATGTTCTCGAGGAAGATTTACAATTCTCTAGTGAAGATGAATTTGACGAAGTTCCATTCACTGCTGACGAGCAGGGAGAGTCTGGAGATTTGGAAGCACTAGAGCTCGGTGGGATGAGAGACTGTGGAGAGGTGGCTGCTGATGATGACAGTCAACAAGCTGCTGAAGCAATGGTGCAATTGGGAAATGTTGGCTTTTATGTTGGGGAACAGCAATTGATTCAGCAAGAAGAAAGTATGGATGTCGATCCTAATTACGATCCTTCAGATTTTCTGCTGGCTGGTTTACCTCCAAGGGCAGAAAAGGTCAGCACTGACAAAATTCGCGATGACTTGGCGGTGTCTGAGAGTGATGAGGAGCATGAAAACGTTACTGGGCAGATCAAACAGGAGATTCAACCGCCGAGTCAACCTGACGAGGAAGTGGCTGGTGATCTCTGGTTTTAAAAATGAGTTGACATTCGAAGCTTGTGCACTACTAATCTTTTTTTCGCATTGCTTCTAACAATTTTTCATCTGGAAATTGATAATGCATAATTCCTATATTTGGGAATACTTTTTTTCCATTTTTATCATAGCCAATGATTTTAGACACTTCTTTTAAACAAGGAAGGAGAACTCCCTAGATACAAAATCATGATTATTGTTTGAAAACGTACAAAGTAGAAGATTTGCAATTGTATAATTAATTCAATCAAATGCATTGTAATTAATATGTAGGATTAAATGATAAATTATTTGTTTTCTTCTCAAAGCATATCATCAACTTTTATTATAATCCTCCTCTGTTTGTAGACGAAAGCATTTCCAAAGTCCAAAACGCACTTCCCAGTCGACGAAAAATAGTTCAGGTTTATCCCAGAGAACATGATGTATTGCTAAGTCGTAATGTGTTGCTAAGGGCGGATTTAAATGCGGGGCCCATTGGGCTCGTTCCATCAAAACTTTGTTGACATACGCATAAAACACTTTTGCTTTGTGAATCCAACAGATCAATGTCATTATTGCCAATATCATTGCATGAACATGATAAGTCACGGAATGAGTAGCATCCAAGTGCTCTAGAGTTAAATCCTGAATGTTCATTAAGAGACAAGACAAAGCTGCCGCAGTGAATCCACAAGGAACCTCTACCGCTATCAAACAAATTGTACAGTAAATGGCTTCAAGGTTTATTCTTGATGTACAGTGATTCATTACACATTGCAGAAAACTTTCATGAATGAGGTCTCGGTGCTCTTTAAAAAAATCTTGGTCATTTCGTCTGTCTTTATTTATTTCTATATCGTAATCCGTATTCTCGAAGAACAATTTCAATGCCTGAAATTGCAATTTATTGCGCTTTCTGTCAATGAGATTTTGGAGCACTCGGTTTCCTACGAGACTCACTGATGAATTCGGTGAAGATATCATTTTTAAGAGGAGAATCAATAATTCTTTTGCTAGAGTATTCTCGAATATATCCAATTCGTAAGACTGAGCAGCGAATTCTAAAATATTTGCAAGTTCTAAAATTATTGCATCATCATGCGATTGCTTTTCCAAGGCCCATAAGCTTATTTCTGAGAGGATTGAGATTAGATGCCAATCGGAAAGATGTTTGATAGCATTCAGTAAACAAATTTCAAAACTGTTTTTGAGTATTAGTTGCTTTTCGTCAAAACAATGGTTGAGACTATTGTGGTATAGTGTTAATAATCTTTTAATGGCAGTTTCAGTATCTTGATCATTAACCCACGAATGGTCTTCCAGGATTGTATACAAGATGCGCATAATTTTGCGGATGTCTTTCAAAGATGTTCTTTTGCATTGTGTTTTATTAAATAAACCATCGATAATTTTATTTTGATTGATTCCACAATTGAGAAGACCCTGAATAATATATTGACAAAGATCTTCCCATTTCCAAAGTTTCTCTTGGTGAACTATTTTGATCACGACTTTTATAACATTATCAGTGTAGATAGGTAAATATATCTTTAATATACGAAAATAAAAAGCTGTCACAGTTCGGTGATTGTTTTTTTCTTTCCATCCACAAATATTTGATGCATGAAGAGCCTCATCGCAGAATGAAAGGACTATTATAGTACAGAGAAGGGTTTTATCCGGCCCGTAATCTTGCCATTGTTGCTGGCTGGTAGTTTTTATTAGCCGTATAAAACGCGCGATTGCTTCAGCTGAATTTTTTTTTCTTGCAACGAGAGAAAAACACAAACCGTACAATTCGTCCATCAAAAATCGCCGTGGTTAGACTTCACTTGAGTAATTGTCAATAAACCGTAGTATCCATAGAATTCCTTCCTTTCAGTTGATTTAAATTCTTTTGAACAGTTTTCGTATTGTAAGGGCGAAATTTACTTTGAAATTTTTAATTAATCAATTAATTAATAATATAATATCTTTCACATCTTTAGAGTTATTAAGTATTTTCCGATAATGCCCTGCATAGCAACGATCAAACAAATCCTCTTGATTGAACTTTAATAATATCGTTTTGATATCTTCGATTTCATGACATTTTGAATATTAGAGAATACTTGTCGGTTGAACGTTGATCAGAAAAAATGATTCCTGGAATCATTACATTTGTCGAAAAATTGATAGCATCAATGAGGGAAATGTTGTGAATAAGAGGAGATTCAAGGCAGTCAATTTATTTTTATAAGGGAGCGATTCGACGTCAAATCAGCAGTCGAAATAAATCGATATCTTCGATTATGTCCCTGATGAATGAATCGGACATTTGTAAGGTCCGATATTTCCTCATTCCGACAGTCCGATTTGAGTTTCCGATAGTTGGGAGGGGGTCGTTTGTACAATCTCAGATGGACAAATTCCATTTTGGACACGATCTGGGGAAAATGGCGGCGGCACGAATCTGCGCAGACACGAAAATTTACGGACAAATTCTCAGATAGACATATTTTGATGAGGCGGTTAAACAGGGCTCGGTATTGCAGGTATCCTTAGCAAATGTCTCAACAGTTGTAATTTTAAGTGCAGCGCCACGCTGAGAGATGGCGCCATTATTCTCATTTTCAATGGAATGACCAGAGATTATAGGGGAGACTGCCAGCGCTTATGTAGAAGCTTCAACCGCAAAATTTTGTAGCGGCGGTGCATGAGCCCGGAGGGGCTCTCCAGATTGGAAAATTCATTTCTTCCCCCCTAATTGCGATGAAGGAATGAAAGCAACATCTATCGATCGAGAATTGTATTCTCAATAAATAACAGCGGGTTCGTTCTTTAATCTCTATTAGGAGAGGAGGAATGAATTTTCAAAGCGCGCAGTAACTCCGG